TTAAATTCTTCATTATAGTTCAGAGTGTCTACATTTCTGTTGACATCTTTAATTTTTTCTCCTTGATACACATTTTGTTAAGCATTTTACAGATAAAGTTTTCACAATGAAACAGATGATCTTTAAAAGGAAAACAATTATTATATTTAAAATATTTGCCTATGAACCTGCATTAAATTTTCTATAGAATCATTTCAAATTATTTTTTTGTTGTAGAGGCCTACTATTCAATAACAATGAAATGATAAGCTTAGATTTAACGAAACCTTGCCCTGTATCACACACATTATGGAAAAAAAAGTATACCTACTTCCATAAACAAGCTGAGGATGGCATCATTGTTGATTCCTTTAACATCAACATCACTTATCTCAATGCCCTCATCCACATACAGCAGCCTCTCATCCTCTATGGCTTGCTTGTTCATGAAATTCTGCTACATGTGCAAAAATATTTTTTAAAAATGACGAATACATAAATAGGTAACATTACAGTTATAATGATTTATGATCATTATATCATACAAGTTGATAAACATCCACAAAATTGAATTAACCAGAGATCTTCAATATTATAAATCAAGAAATTTGTTTTCTTTGTTCAACTAAAAAAATAAGTCAATTAAAATCAATGAGTTAAGCAATTATATTTTGATGAGTGGAAACTGTGTTTTCTTTGTTCAACTAAAAAAATAAGTCAATTAAAATCAATGAGTTAAGCAATTATATTTTGATGAGTGGAAACTGTTTCAAGTAGGAAAATTAACTGGAGTCATACAATTCATGTTGGCATGATCTGCATACATCAAAATTGTCATCAGATAAAAGCATAAAATACCTAAAGCTAATGCTTGTGTAAAAGTTGTTGTTTTTTTCATATAATTTTACTCATCACAAATACCATAAGACATTTAACAATAAAAATGAGTTTAAGTCCTTGAGGACTCTGATCTGCAAACTAATTTGCCACATGATTTGTTTATACTAATCTTGATATTAGAATTAAGGTTTCTAAAGATATGGGTCTCGAAGATTTTTCTGTTTTTGCAAAGGAAAATTAATGTACATGTTCAATAAGATTAGATGAAACTCCATGAAATAAGTATATTACGATTGCTTTTTGACTTACCTGTAGGTGTTCATTGACAAGGTTTATGCACAACTGCTCAAAACTGTTTATTTCCAGGTTTTCAAATCCACAAATATCCAATATACCAATACTTGGCAGATTTCTAATTGAAATAAAATAATAATCCATGAGCTCACCCATAACACAATTTTCATAATCTATAATAAAACTATTTTATTACCAAAAACTACACATTTTTGATTTCCTGCTAAAAAAATAATAAAGTTGTTCAAATTTTTTAGAAGGAATTAGTCATTTAAGAAGAATTGTCAAGCAATGTCAGCGCAAAAGGATTAAAAATAGATCTGTCAATTTATCTGTTTTCACTACTATTTCAAAATCCATACATTTTGATTCCCTTTTAAAGCAATTTTTTTATTATTTTTATTTCTTCTTTTAAAATCTCATTCTCTATTATTTGATACAAATAATTGTTGACCCTCAGCCGTGTTAAATGAGATAATATTAATGCTGCTTGTAATACCCTGGTTTGGGGCAATAGTACTTCTTGGATACTGTCTCATTGTGAATTTTTGAAAATGTATAATTTGACACTGACATGGGAATAGGAAGATAGATATACCATAACATTTGAATATATTATTATTAGTTTACCTGTTTTTGACTGATTTGAGTGAATCATTGACTTTCCTGACCAACCATCCAGACATCCTTTCATACAAAGCTTTGGCGATGGCATCTCTCTCATCTTCAACTTGCTTTTTGTTTTTGGAGAGCAGAATAATCTCCCCTACAACATAAACATTTATCTTTATTAGAAACATGGTCAAGTGGATTTTGTTTTGATAAATTAGACAATGTTTCATACATGCCTGATTTCAGAGTGATATCTGCATATTTTTTTGAAATTATGTAAATAATTCAGTTTATTATAAATGTATATCACGTTTTAGAATTTCTTATTGCCCATTGAAAATTTCAGAAAGTAGTATTTGCCCAATTTTAGTTTAATTTATTCATTTAAAAGAATTTTAAATTTATGTTTTATAAGATAATATAATTTACTTTTCAATGCTAATTGGAATCTATAATATAAGACCATCTTTGGATTAATTTTAGTTTGTAACTTAGCTTCTGTTTACAAAGAGATCTCTAACTATACATGTGCATAACATGCCCTCTCAATACACATCACTGTTCATTCCCTTTTCTACCCACTAAAAATTGTTTAAAACTTTTAAAGAATATGTATCTCTTAAGAATATTAACTCAAACTATATCGTAGATATACTCAAACTATATTGAGGATGTACTCAAACTAAAATATAGATTTACTCAAGCTATTATGTGGATGTAAATTATTGTTATTACATTTGGAGAGGATTAAAATTATATCAAATATAAGATAAATAGATTATATAATAAAATATTTTTAAAAAAACATTGTTTGAGTATATAAAAAATTCTATGTCAGGGCAATATTATTAGACATGTATTAAATTCAGGATCTGCATCATGGTGTCAAAAATAGACAGATTTTCATGCATTAATTTTTTAAAACTGGTTTTCTATTGTTTGATCATCCACCAGTTGTAGACATTTTAGCACATGAATGTTACTTAAATAAAGTGGATGGAAAAGCAGGTTGGATTGAGAATAACAAGAATGCAGTTGGTTACACTATAGGAAAGATTATTATACCCAGCAGCTATTCATTGACACAATTGATTAGAATAACCATCTTAACTTCTAGGGCTTCTAAACTTTAATTGGGGCCTGATGATGATTAAACTAGTCAATCTGACTTTTATGTTTTAGAATTATTTTGAATAACATGTTAATGTACCTATTGAAGTAAAAAAAAAAATTAAATTTTTTGTTAAATCAAGACACAATATTATTCAACATTATTCAGTTAATTTGTCCTCAAGATAAGAAGATCATTTAAAATTTAAACAAAAGCAACCCGTCTGGGATCAGCTAGGTTGGTGCTGGTCATGCATGTATCCTGTCTGTTCAAAGATGCTTAAAGGAAGGGTATGTACACAACCAAGCAGGATAGGGATGATACCATTGAGAAAAGATTAACAACATGGGAAGATGTGTTATGGGGAGTAAAGCTAAAACCCCTGTAAAAATTAAAAATAGTTTCACTTCCTGACCTAAGTTGTTTTAATTTAAATTTATTGACCATGATCCTAGCTGAGTTTCACTGTCCTACTCTTGAACAAATATTACATTTTTTTTAAAAGTGAAAATACCTAGGCATTTTAATTCCTATAAATATTTTTAGTTCATTTAAATGTTATACTTAAGTATATTATCTGTAAACATAGCCTTATTCTATAAAGACATGAGGCATTCTGAAATGCTTATTTTGGTGCTTCAGTAAAAGTTTAAAATAATAGTCATTGTTTGTAGCTGCTGTCTTTATTAAATAAAACATGACATGTAGAACAAGTTGTTTTTTTTTCTCTCCTTTCTGTGAATTATTTAAATTTTCTCTCAACCGTTATTGTGACATTTAACACCTGAGATGGTGTAAACCAAAAAAATAAAAACGACAATAAAAATGTGATATGCAAGCAGCCAGATACAGGGTGGAGGGTGGCTATTTTAAACTAATTTTTTCAAAGCATTACCTGATTGACTGACTTCATCATCATTAAGGCTAGAACTGTTTTGGCTACTTAAGTCACTTTGATATGATTTGCCTGAGGAATTTCGACAGTTGCACTCTTAAATAATCTTCTAAAATACCTGCTATGTGCCTTTGTGGCAAATTTAAGATCTTAATGTCATCAAAGTAAAATTTTAAACCATTAGCTTTGAAAAATTTTTTGTGTGAAAGAAAAATGAGAATTTAATTTGCAGAAGTGTGAATGAAAGAAATCCAGGAAATAATTGTATGCAAATTAAAAGAAAAAATGCTACATAGGTCTAAAAGAATTATTATTGAGATAGAAAATTTGACATAAAATTTATTAGTAACATAAAGAAGCTTCAAGCATTTTGTTTAAAAAGTTAGTGCAGACTGTTTTGAATCAAAAAATGAATGATCAAGGCCTGACTATACAAGTAAAAAACATTGTGTTACAAACACAGTCTTAAAAATGTTGGTAACTTTAACCAATAAATATAAATAAATTATTGGAAAACAATAATAAAGCAATAAAATAGTTAAAATAACTAAATTGTAACTGTTTAAAAAAAAACAACACACACAACTATATACTGAGATGTTACATTATCTTGTGAATAAATATTTTTAACAGATTATAGTAGTTCTTTTTTAATTATTTTTGTATGTAAAGAATTTGTGCTTTTTTTCTGTAGCACACTTGATAATTTCCCAGGTATACACCGGATACAACTTTTTATTAATTTTTTAGTGAACTTTATTTGAATAATCTTTCCTCAAATCAAATAGTAATTCTTTGTTCGTTTAATCATATACTTTGTACAGATATTAATTGCATTTATCAGATAAATGCTTTTAAACAAAATTAAAAAAAAAAAAAAAAAAAAAGATAACAAGACCTATTGTTTGTTTTTTATTACCTCGACTGTTCTAAGTGAGCTTTCGCCACTCCCAGAGAAGCTCATGCTTACAGGTACAACTTGTCGGTCTGTTAAAAATTTAGTGGTATTAATTACTGATGAAATATCTCTGCTAAATATGGTGGAAAAGGAGTGATTGATACCACATGCTTCACACAGCAGATCTCATTCATTTTTTTTTCTCTTTAAGACAAAGGATCACCGAAATTCAATGGTCTTGTACAAGTTTAATAATTTTATGAGTGAGAAAATAAAGAAAATAGAAACTTTTACAAATTATAATGTAAATTTGTTCATACCATGGGTATTTTATGTCACATCTTGAAAACATTAAAATTTTTATTCAATGTATTTTTGTCCAAAAAACCAGACAGCGTATATTTAATTAGTGACCACACTTTGAATTTATTTTTTGAATTTATTGAATTTCGTTGCTCACAAGTTTAGTAGTTATTAGTTAAGACAAATACACTGTTAAATAAAATCACATGCTTTTAGTCATAGAAATGATAAAATAAGATAAAGGACAAGATTTCTTTTTCACAATTTTAAGTAAAAATTATGAATGTGTAAAATTTAAATGTAATGATTTTTTTAGCATGAGTTAATTTTTTTCAAGTACTATAAACCCAAGACTGAATGCAAGGTAATGTGTCCTGTGTTAAAACCTTGCAAAATATTTTTGGGAAATGTTCCTGTCATCTGAAATTGATGTCCTTTGTTCAGGTTGATAAAAATCAAAACAACCTTTATCCTATGGATTATCCTATAAATAACCCATTACATCTCCATTGAATGAAAGAATTTTAAAATATGCCCTTATTCAAACAATTTTAATCAGTTGTAGAGAATTGTTTTAAAGCCCATGTTAATCCTTCTGAAACACTAGGATAATGACTGTAAGAATGGTATGTTTTTATCTTGTAATATTGGTAATAAATATTTAGATATAACCTGCACGAAATTGGACCAATAATCTTAAATCTTAAACTTTTCTTCTATTTTAGAAAAGCATGCAAATATAAAGATAAAGTTAAGACATAATCATGCATAACTATGCTTATTTTATAGCAGCCATCAAGAAGCCACTATACTTACTAGAAGATTAAAAATCTAGAAGAATTATTATGTACTTTTGTATTAAGCCACTGGCTTAAATGAATTAAAATAAATATAGCAACAGAAATGTTACTTCTAATTTTATGATGTGCAATATTTCAGTGCAAAGTGAAATAACTGGGTGCAGTGTGTGATACAGAAAATACATTTATGTCGATTTTCTACAAAAACTATAAATATTAGTGATGTTAAGTAAAAGTATATAGACTGTGAGGCAGCTAATATGTATGCCTACTTAATTCTCTTAAAAGCAAATTATGAACTAGATGAAGGTATTCATGACTTTATTCAATTCCAATTGGTTTAACAAAAGAAAATAGGCTCACTGAAGACAAAACTCATTTTTTTTAAAGCAGAGAGTTAAGACAATTATTTTTTAAAGTGTTGGTTAATATAGTTCAACTAGTGCATTAGTGTTTCCCCAAAATTGTATGGTCCAATGTTAAGTTTTAATAGTATAAATATTCTTACCTTTTCCCAACCGTCCTTTGCGTTCAATCAAAACTTTTGTCAGGTTCATTGCATCCATTTGAAGCAAAAAGGCAGCTAAAAATTAAGATATTGATATAAATTTTCATTCAAAACATAATTATTTTAATTCATATATTTATTACAACATTTTTATGGCTTAACATGTATAATTCTCTGTTGTCTTATATTTAAAATTACTTGAGATAATCGATCTATATGAGTCATCTGCTCACCTTGCTGTACATATGTTTCATTTTTTATAGAGACACAATCGTTTTCGCTTTCCACAAACTCAACATTTCCAAGGTGAAGGACAGCTGCCAAAATAGTATTCACATCTAGGATTTCCTATTTTAAAAGAAAAAAGTCTAAGTGCCAAAGTTTTTAAAGCTACAACTATGCATTTTTTTTTACACAAACTCAACATTTCCAAGGTGAAGGACAGCTGCCAAAATAGTATTCACATCTAGGATTTCCTATTTTAAAAGAAAAAAGTCTAAGTGCCAAAGTTTTTAAAGCTACAACTATGCATTTTTTTTTCTAGTAAATTTTATAAAACAGTAGACCAGTGAAGCCTATGAAATGCAAGGAGCAATTAAGTCAAAATCAAGACATGAAATAAACCGCCATACAATAACTTTTGATTCATCATCATCATCATCATCATCGCCTG